CCCCCACCCACCGCCCGCGCCCCACACGGCAGACGCAAAGACTCCGCCGCGCTCACCGCCATCGCTGCTCAGTACTCCTCTCCGCTCCGCCAGCAACAGCCAGTTTTCGCGCGAAAAGCGGCCCACGTGACCGCCCGTGCCCGGGAAGCGTCTGAGGGAGCACGACGTCATGACGTTGGCGTCCATTTTCGTCACGCCGGCGCTCGGGGGCGGGCCCGAGCGTGCGGCCCCGCCCACGCTGCCCGAGACCCCCGCCTAGCCTGCGCTCTGTGCTGCGGGGCCAGCCGGGGTGTACGACCTGGTGCTGTGGCCGGCTGGGGGCCTTGTTTTCTGACGTCTTCTTAACTGTGTGATGTCAACTCCTCCAAAAGCTCAAGCTGCGTCCTTCAATCGCCGAAAGGCGGGGGATGGTAGGAGGCCAGCTGTGACGTTCTAGTGGGGGTTACCCCCGCGAGGGAGCCGAGATGCAGGGGTGTGTTCCAGGTAGCAAGAGCCTCGTGCGCAGAGATGTGGAGAGCAGGGCACGGTGGGCATCTGCAAGCACTTTCCTAGTTCCAGTTAAACCGCTTGTGATGTTCAGGAAGGGACAAAAATTGAGGCTGGAGAGCCCAGGTCACGAAAGATCACCAAGTCTTTCTACTGAGCTGGCCTGAGGGCAGTGGAGAGCTACCTGGGTTTTAGGAGAATCCCTCAGGCTGCCAGGGGTGGACGTAGATTGAGGCAGGCTGGAAGCAGTTACACTTGGTTCCAAATCTGCGGATTCAACCAACAGGGTGGTAAGAAAAGAAGTTTTTTAATTCCGGAAAGTTCCAAAAATCAAAGCTTGATTTTGCCGTAGGCCAGCTAACTATATTTACACAGCATTTATACCTATTTGCATAGCATTTACATTGTATTAGGTATTGTAAGTAATCTAGAAATGACAAAGTATACAAGAGGATGTACCTAGGTTATGTGCAAATATTGCACCATTTTATGAGACTTTAGCATCCTTGAATTTTGGTATCTGCAGGTAGCCTGAAACAAATCTCCCAAGGATACACAGGGACGAGTGTGCTGCGATTCTTCATCCAGGTACAGGCAGCCTGGGCTAGGGCAGGCGAGCAGGGCAGGGCTGGATCTCAGCCCTCTTGCCCTGGCACTTTTGTGCGGTGAACAAGCATCTCGGGATGGGGCCCTGGGTAGGGGCGGGAGCGATGATGAGGAGGGGAAATATCCAAGACGTATTCAGGAGATGGAGTCTCTCGGTCCTGGGGACTGGGGACAGCAAAAGGGAGGCACCCAGGATGGCAGCAGGATTCTGGCTTGGGTGGGTGACAGCGCCACCTCTGAGATGGGGGCGCGGGAGGAAGACAGGGAAGGAATCCAGCAGCTTACAACAGCTGCCACGTTGTCTCGGTGTCCGTGGGCCTGGGCCTGGGCCTGGGCAGGGCTTGCTGGATGCCTCTGCCTCGTGGTCCTGCTGCTGAGCCAAGCACTTGTGTCTATTATTTAGGGAGCCCGGTTCTGCAGCAGCATCTCCTCCTGTCAGCCATGCCTCGGGAGGAACAGCACCCTGAGCCTGGTGCAGGCGAGGGACGGAACCTGAGAGTCAGATCTTTATCTACTGAACTACCGTTCAGGGAAGCTCGCTGCTGCCATGCTCTGTCTGGTGTGCAGGGGGCACTGCAGTGAGTCAGCACTCCTCTGCCCTGGAGGGAGGGGAGATAGATACCCTCATTACTCCACAAATGAAATCCCACTGAAACCTATGCGTGGGGCCCAAAACTCAAGAGTACAAAATGCAGAATTGCGCATGGTGGTAGTAAGAGCAAACTCCCGCCTCCTCCCACGCCTGCTCCAAAGTGTCTGTACTGTCTCAAAAAAACAAAGATGGAGGGAGGGGGGGGGGTCATTTGGCTTAGTCACCGATTCTCCATTTCTTCTCCTTCCTGGCACAGGGTGGTGGAAGGGAAGTTTCCCGCCCCTGGAGGTCCGAAGTGGCCTATGACTTGTTTTGTCGATTAAAGGTGTGCAGGGGTAATGCATGTAACTTCCTGGCAGAAACTCTTGGAGCTGTCCACTCAGGAAGACAGGCGCCTCGTGGAGCTCAGCCTCTCTTGGCTGATACAGAAACTGCACGCTGACCAAGGTCCAGATAAACTGGGTCCCAGATGGTCACAGGGCAGCGGCTTCCTCACCTTCCCCTTGTTCAGAACAGGAGCGAGGCAAAGACTGGGGCCCAGTCTCATTCCAGCCCAGCTGTGAAACAAGTGTGGGGTCACAGGGTGTGTATCTTGGGGCTACTGTGATCAGTGGGTGCCTACGACAAGCACCAGGCCCTGAGTTAGCCTCCGCACGTTCGGGGAATGTGATAAGCACGGCTCTGTCCTCACGACACTGACATTGTAGTTGGGGGAGGCTGATGCTGAACTAGGAAGTGACTAAATGAATATGAACCCGTTAGAGAGATTGTGCTGCTGTGTAAGCAGATGGGGCAGGTGGTTCCCGGAGAAAGAGAACCAGGAATGGCTTTCTTGACATAAGAGAAGCCATTTTTGGCGTGGTTGGGATGGAAGCCTGGCCACAGTGCTTACCCTTAAACAGGTCTCAGTAATGACTGATCTTAAAGGAACAAAAGAATGCAGAAACAAATTGTTATCAGGTGAGAGAAGTAACAATGCTAGACAACGTATCAGTTGTAAAGATTCCCGGTTCTGATTCAATGGCAAAAATTAGCCTGAAGAGCTCAGCCATCAGATCAACTGGACCCTAAGGGAGGATACTGGTGACCTTCTCTGAGCCTCATGACTTCAGTTAACTAAAGCTTGGACTGCCCAAGCCCCTTGATGAATACGCACGTACCCTTAGCTTAAAACGTCCCCCAATTTTGTTGTTCGGGGAAGCACGAATTTGGGAAAAGTCCCCTATGTTCTCCTTACTTTACTGCAATTGATCAGTTCTTCCTTCTTCTGCTCTTTGCCTTGGTTGTGTCTTTCCGCTCGACGTCCACCAACAGACGAACCCAGTTTTGGTAACACTAGGAATGAAATAAAGGGGCTTTGTGTGACAGAGACTGGACAGCTACTTTGGCTAGGGTGTCAAGCAGGAGAGGGGGTCATGTGACAGGAGCCAGGCCGGGGGTGGGGGTGGGGGGACAGGTGCAGACCCACAAGCAGGAACAAACTTGGTATAGCCAAAAAACAGAAACAGAGACCAGTGTGGCTTGAGCACCCAGTGAGGAGCGGGTGGGAGGGATATGTTGGGAGGGATAAGGACTCAGCAGCAGGAGGGGCCTGACATGGCAGAACCCGGGAGAGGGGAAAGAGGGGTGAACACAGCAGGGACGCAGGAGGCCAATCCAGGAAGGCTTCCCGGAGGAGGCTGCCTGTAGTTAGAGGTGAGAGGAGGAGGATCAAACCCCAGTTCTGAGCTTTGTCACTTCCTGGTCTTGTCGCTTAGGTCAAGCACTTAACGTCTCAGCCTCAGGTTCTCCTGAAATGCGACTAATTACAGCTGTTCCGAGGAGCTGCCGTGAGGCGGAGGGTGCGCAGCACTGCGTCGACCGCGGCCGCGAGGGCAGGTGCGCGGGAGACGCGCCGGTCCGGGCGGGGCTTGTACCCTGGGACCAGAGGTCCTCAGGCAGGCGGCGGAGGCTCCGCCCCGGACGCTCGGCTGCTGCGTGCAGGAGAAAGGTCGCGGGCGAGGCGGGGGGGGGGGGGGGGCGCCGCGCAGGTCGCGCGCTGACAGCTGAAGTCAAGGCCCCTTGCGGCCGAGAGGGCCGTGCGCTGTCTCTTTAAGAGGTTGGCGGGCCGCCCCGCCCCCTGGGGATCTGATTGGCTCCTCCCGCTACGTGCGCCCTCTTTTCTGTGTAACCCCATTCCTATAGGCCGCTGCGGACTGGGGGCGGGCCTGCGTGCCGCAAGTAGGGACAGTGGCTGTTTTGTAGTTTCGACGGAACGAAAAGGACGCGCCAGCCTTCCGGGTCACTGCTGTCGGAAGGGCCGCGCGGTGTCATGCCCGACGGCGTCTCCCTACCCGCTCGCCCGCCCGCCTAGTCTGCGGGAGCCAGCCGCCCGCGCCTCTTGTGCGACGCTCCCCGGCCCGAGCGCCGGAGGCCGAGTCCCGCGGCCTTGCGCGGTCCGCGGCCGGCGGCGGATGGGCGGCCGGGGCCTCAGGTAAGGAGGGGACCCCTCTCCTGCCCCAGCTGCGGGAACTGATCCCGGCGGCCTCCGTCCCGCCTGCTGCTCCTGCCGCCGGGAGCGACCCTCCCGCCCAGAGGCAGGTTGGGGGCGCAGAGGGCCGGCGTCCTGGGTCCCCGGGGAGACCGGGCTTGCGGACCCTGCGATCCAGGTCGTGCGGGAAGACGTCCCTGCGAGTGTCCGGGTCCCACTTCCGGCTCCCCGGGCCCGAGAGGGCGGGGGTCCACTGGATAGGGAGCGAGGAGTGACCTGCCCTCACGCTGCAGTAGGAACGGGGCCGAGGGCCTCCCAGACGGTCCTCCCACTCCCCAGAAGGGCTGGGCCGCACTCTGCTGGACATTCATCTGTCCACTCACAACGTTTGTTGTCCTGGGGGGCTGGGGCATGAGATGCGTGGGCTGGACAACCCACAAACACACAGCGAGGGCCGCTTCAGACAAACAGAGGTAGTCAGGGAGGGCTTCTCAGAGGAGGTGGCCCGAATGGTGAGACGCAGCTGGGAAGGAGCACGCACCGGGGCCCTGAGGTAGGAACAGCACAGCAGCTTGGAGAACAGGCTGAAAGACGGGCTGCAGAGTGGAAAGGAATCGTCAGGGCAGTTGGCAGGGGTGAGGCCAGGTTGGACCTTGAAGGCCCAGGGCTGTCCTTCCTCCTGGGGGCTCCTGGCAGGCTCCACCTCCCCCGTCCCCAAGGCTGAAGGATTAGGGGGTTGGCTCTGTCCTGTGGAGTCTTCCTCACCCTGTTTCGGTTTCGGTTCCAGGGTTTTAAGGCTCATCAGCAAGCTCCGGTCGGAAGCCCTGAGGGGCGTTTAAGCAGCAGCCTCTCTGCTCAGGGTTTTGTTTGCCCCAGGGTTTCCCATCCAGTAGCTCTGGGTGGTCAGACCCACTGCACAGATGAGAGATGGGAAAGCGGAGGCCCACAGAAGGGAAGGTCCTTCTGGTCCAGGGTCTCACAGCAGGTCCAGCTCGCAGGACCCTAGCCAGTTGGCATCCTGCCCACAGAGGGAGGGAGGGAGGGAGGGAGGGAGGGAGGTGGGTGGGAAGTGGCCTCTGGAATGTTATTGAGGTCAGGAGAGTCCTTCCCAGGTGGAAGAAACGCCCCAGACTGGTGCTGAGAGGCCAGGGGTTACCCCAGAGCACTTGGCATCCCAGGAACTTGCCCTCTGAGAATTCCCTTCCCCATCCCTCTGGTCTGGCTTCACCCCTCCCTCCCCTGCCCTCAGCCAGCCTTCCCACCATCCCCTCTTTCCTGAGCACCCCTTACTTTGCCACTGCTTGGGCTTCTGCCAGCAAGGCCAGGAGCTCACCTGTGGTGGGGAGAGGGGAAGACAGGCCACAGGCTGACCTGTCTCAGCCTCTTTCCCCTTTGTGTGATGGGATATTAGCAGTCCCCTCTCTTGGAGGCTGGTGTGGTGGCTCAGCAGGTGACCCCGTGGAAAGCCTCAACTGCACACGGGCAGGGAAGGGTGCATTGTCATTTTTATCATGGCTTCAGTGATTTTGTGAGCTTTGACACATAGTGGCAATTCTGGTGTGGCTCAAGTGTGGTTCTGGGGCCAGCAGAGCAGCAGTGCCAGCTGGGAGGGTGTTAGAGTTGCAGACTCTCAGCCCCCAGACCTGCCTGACCCGAATCTGCTTGTTACCAACACTCCACTCTGGATCAAACCCGGCTGCAGGTGGACACACCAAGGCCCTAGGAGGGGCCCCTGGCAAGTTGCCGGTTGGGGGCCTGCGCTCTGGAGACAGTCTGCGCTGCCCGGCTCCGGGCTCTGTGCAGGGGGTGACACAGGTACCTCCCTGCAGGGTAGCAGGGTTCCGTGAGCCTTCTCTGCAGTTATTACAGAGCTAGCAGGGCTTGGTAGAGGGGGCTTAGCTGACGCTCTCCTTCCTCACCTCAGACTCCGTAGCAAGTGGCGCTTGGACCCGTGAACCAGATCCTTCCCTGCTGCACGTCCCCCAGCCCCTCCACCGGGAAGAAAAGCAGCAGTTACCTTTCTGCGTGTGACCTTTTGTAGACATTCACTTCTCTGGTCTTGCTTGATCCTTACAGCAGCCTTGTTGGGGTGGGGGGGGGGTGTTATTGTCCTGTGACACCCAGAGAGGGGAAAGACTCCCCCAAAGTCACGAAGAAAGAACCTGGCAGAGCCAGAAGCACAACCAAGGTTTACCCAACTCCAAGTCAAACTGGCCTACGCAGGAAAGGGAATTTGTTGGATTCTGTAACTGAAAAGTCTGGCCTGGGGTACGGGTATCTACCTTCAGGTGTGGCTGGATCCAGGGGCTCCTGCAAGGCGCTATCTCGAGGATCTATTTCCATCACCTCTGTGTTGGCTTTCTTTCCACGTGGGACTCCAGTGTGCACATTCCCTGGAGTTGTGGAGGGGTGGAGTCAGCAGTACCTAAACCCTGTGGATGGGGACTGGGGTGCTGTGGTGCCCCTGCAGGAAAATGGGGTGCTGGACAGGCAAGGCCAAGAGAAGCCCTCTGACCGCCCCCCCTCCCCACTCTATCCGGCCCTCCTGCTTCTGTCCCCATTCATCCCCACGGGCTTCTCTGCCGCCTGGGGTCCCTGCAGGACATCAGGCAGCCCTGGACCCCGACCCTGTGTCACATGGGCACCCTGCGCCCTGCTCAGGTGCCCCGCGTTGCGCCACACCACCCCCACTCCGAAACCTCTGGCTTACAGCAACCCGAGGCTCAGCTTCTGGCGCTGGCAAGGGGCCCCTGTCCTGAATGCAGGGCATCAAGGAGCGTTCTGCAACGGCGGGGGGGGGGGGGGGGGGGTGTTATTGTCCTGTGACACCCAGAGAGGGGAAAGACTCCCCCAAAGTCACGAAGAAAGAACCTGGCAGAGCCAGAAGCACAACCAAGGTTTACCCAACTCCAAGTCAAACTGGCCTACGCAGGAAAGGGAATTTGTTGGATTCTGTAACTGAAAAGTCTGGCCTGGGGTACGGGTATCTACCTTCAGGTGTGGCTGGATCCAGGGGCTCCTGCAAGGCGCTATCTCGAGGATCTATTTCCATCACCTCTGTGTTGGCTTTCTTTCCACGTGGGACTCCAGTGTGCACATTCCCTGGAGTTGTGGAGGGGTGGAGTCAGCAGTACCTAAACCCTGTGGATGGGGACTGGGGTGCTGTGGTGCCCCTGCAGGAAAATGGGGTGCTGGACAGGCAAGGCCAAGAGAAGCCCTCTGACCGCCCCCCCTCCCCACTCTATCCGGCCCTCCTGCTTCTGTCCCCATTCATCCCCACGGGCTTCTCTGCCGCCTGGGGTCCCTGCAGGACATCAGGCAGCCCTGGACCCCGACCCTGTGTCACATGGGCACCCTGCGCCCTGCTCAGGTGCCCCGCGTTGCGCCACACCACCCCCACTCCGAAACCTCTGGCTTACAGCAACCCGAGGCTCAGCTTCTGGCGCTGGCAAGGGGCCCCTGTCCTGAATGCAGGGCATCAAGGAGCGTTCTGCAACGGCGGGGCACCTTGTTAGCGAGGCAGAGGGGCAGTGTCACGGGGACACTGGGCTGGGCGCCCCGACGCTCGGGCCAGAGCCCCGGCCTCAGTCTGCCCTGCCCTCTTCCCTCACCCCAACGTGCATCTGTCTGCGGGTCGTGCTGGCCAGCCCTCCCAAAGGGATCCCAGATCCCTCCACTCCACCCCCGCTGCCCCCGCCGGTTCGGCCACTGTCCTCGCCGGCCTGGCCGGGCACCCCTCGTTCTCCCTGCCCCTCCACGGCAGCCTCTCCACGTGGGAGCGGGGCCGCGTCGCCCGCCTTCCTACACCCTCCTGTTGCATTTAAGGTGAGCTCACCGTGCCGGTGGTCCCGGCTGACCTGGCCCCTACCCTTTCTCCTCTCTCTTCCAGCCTGCTCCTTGCCCTTTGAACAGGCCAAGACTGTTTTCTTCTCAGCACTTAGCTCTAGGAGAAGTTTGCTTTTTTTTTTTTTTTTTTTTTTTTTTTTTTTTTTTTTGGATATGTGGGCCCCCCCCCTTCCTG